GGGGAGCGCTCCCCCCGCCCCTCCCCGGCCGCCCGCGGAGGTGCCCCCCGACCGCGCCCGCCGCGTCGGCGATAGTCGTGACAGCACTCGGGGCGTCGTCCCTCCAACCCAGACCACAGCGTAGGCAGCGCCGCGGGGACGGCCAGCGGGTCACCGGCGAAGCTTGGGCGCCGCGGGGAGCGTGCCGAGGCCGCAGCCGGAAGGGTGACCGGGGGCAACAGGCGCGTCCCGGCCCCGGGGACCAGGCCGGGCGAGGTGAAGCCCCGCGGGAGCCGAGCGGCCAGGGGTGCCGGAGAGCGCGGGCAGGGTGCTGTACGCGGGGGACCTGGTGACACCGGAGGTGGCAGAGGCGGAGGCGTCACCCCGGGCTTTGGGGTCCCAGCACCCCGACCGGGGAAAGGCTGGAGCAGGGACGGTGTCCCCCGGGACGGGGATCAGGGCAGGGAGCGCTGCAGCAGCCCAGATGCAGACGAGTGCCAGGGCTCGACGGGACGGTGCAGGCGTGCCACGCCAGCTGGCAGAGTCATCCACTGTGAGCCATGCTCGCTGACCTGTGATGGGCTACGGCGATGGTGGAGGTGCCGGACGGCTGCAGGAGGCAAATGTTGCCCGCGCCACACGCAGCCGGTGCCAGCGCGGGAGCAGCTGAGCCTGACAGCGGCGCTGGGGCCTGTGAGGCCTGTGAGGCCTGTGGGGAGCGTCGGCTCCGCGGTGGCCGCCCGGGGACAGGGACAGACGGACGCCATCCGACCCGAGGCCGGGGGCGGAGGCACGCAGATCGCGCCGGCGGCGGCAGAGCCGCTCCGGGCCGCCAGGGGCGGGGCTTTGCGGGATGGAGGGCGTGTCCATGCAGATCAGGCAGGGCGCGGGCTGGCGGGACGTATCACCGTGAGAAGAAGACGCCGGCCACGGGCGTCGCAGGAGCTGCGTGGCGCTGCGTGACGGGCAGCTATGGGGTTTAGAGCGATTGATGTGCGCGGGTGTGGCGCGGGAGTGTGGGCGCGTGTGTCCGTGTGTTAGGAGTAGGTGGTGGTGCGTGCGGCGTTGCCGGGCGTGAGGGGAGGCATACTTACCTGGCAGGGGAGACACCATGATCAGGCAGGTGGTTTTCCCAGGGCGAGGCTCATCCCCTGCACTCCGGGTGTGCTGACCCCTGCGATTTCCCCAAATGCGGGAAACTCGACTGCATAATTTGTGGTAGTGGGGGACTGCGTTCGCGCTCTCCCCTGGTTTTGCGGTAAACAAAAATAGAGTAGGCATTGAGAGACCTACAAACAACTAACGGAATTACTACTCTCACTCAGTGTGTTGTACGCCCATGAGGCAACTACCCACACTCAATGCAGTGCTGGTCCCAAGAGATGGGCCCGTGCTCGTTGCTCTTCGCGCGGCCGCGGTCACCCGTTATACGCTGGGGACGGCCGGCCGGACGGCGCCAGCGGCCGCGGGGAGACGCCTAATTGGTGTCATTGCTCTGTCATATTGTGCTGTGTCACCTCACACGTCCTCGTCCCGTCCCGTTCTACCCCACGCCAGGTGTCCCCTCAGTTTGGGGTGTCTGGCGGAGCCTCCCGCCCGCTGACCCCGCACTGTCCTGTCCAGACACCTCTTATTCACGCGTGGACGTGTGCGGCTGTGCGGGGAGAGAGGCGATCGCGTCTCCGTGCGCCTCCGGGGGTGCCGGCGGGACGCGGAGCCACTTGCGATTAGGGCTCAGCCACGTGGCTGGGGAGGGCGTGGAACGTTTCGGTAATGACGTTATCGACGTGACGCCATCCCCCCGCGCCACCGCCGCGCTGCGACTTCCGCCTCCAGTTCCGTGCTGGCGGCGCGGCCCGCAACGGGGCGGCGGCGGCGGCTCCGGGAGCCCGTCGGGATCCCGCCCGGATGGCGTCCAGCGCCGCCCGCGGGCCGCGCTGCCGGGAGCGGAGCCTCCGGGGTCGTTCGGGACGGGGATCGGTGACCACCGGGAGCAGCCGGAGTCGCAGCCGGGCACGGGAGGGAGAGCTCCGTACGTACCGGGGACGGGCGGTGCCCCGGGGCCGTGCCCGCCGCTGCGGGAGGGATCGCGGCGGTGCTGGGCGGGGGGTCGCTCCCCGGGGCACCGCATCGTGCCCTGGCGGGATTACCTGGTCCTCCGGGCTGCGTGGGGCAAGTGGAGAGAGAGGCCGGGGCTGGAGATGCCGCTTGCTCTCCTGTCGCTGCTCCGAGCCTCCGGCTTTGCTCGCCTCGGCCTGGAGCTGAGCCGGACTCACCTCTCCCCTCAGCGTGTTTGAAACATTGCCCGGGTACAGGTGTCCCACCCTGTGTCCGTACGTCTCTCCCGGCCGGGGGGCTGGGTGGTGGCAGCCCAGTGGATCGCTGTACTGAGAGGTGGTGGGAGAGCCCTGTTGTGTTTTCGTGCTAACTCTGGCTGTTGATTTTGGGCAGGGGAACTGTCGCCGCTCAGAGATTTGGATGCTTTGGACCACTCTGAGGAGGGAGTAGAAGCTACCAAGTCCCAGAAAAAAACTGTCCGAAACCAAAAACCGAAAAGCAGTCCTAGTGACCCCAATGGCCCAGCCCCTGCGGAGACCGAGGGGTGTGGTGAGCCCTCGAGGACATCTGAGAATGGGTCCGTGCCGCCCCCGAAGGCACCTGGGAAGCGCGGGCGGAAGTCCAAGACTGAGATGCTGCTGCTGAAGCTGTCTCAGGACCTGGAGTGCCCGACCCCAGAGCCCATCTGTGTGCAGAAGATGCTGGGGAGCAGTGAGGCGGCAGAAGGCCTGGAGACCACCCCCGGCGGGCGCCCCAAGAGACGGGCAGCCAAAGTGTAAGCAGGGGCAGCAGATGCGGGGGTCTGGAGACGAGTGCTGCAGGGAGATTGCAAGGACAGACAGATACCGCTCTCAGAGTGGTTCCTTGAGACCTGTGTCTTGCCTGGGGGGGGCTTGGTATCCTGAAGGACTTTGTCCCACATCAGTGGGACAGACTGGTTCCCCATGGAGCGATCTTTTCCCACTTTAGGAGTGATTGGATCCAGGAGCATGGGGGTGTGGGGAACAGCAGGGGCTGTAGATGAGCTCGCATGTGGCGGGTGTTTGACGGCAGTGGGGAAGAGGCTTTGTCTGGTGGGGAGCAGAACAGGCTGTGCGAGCCATGCACTGCATAAAGGGGAGTCCTCAGGGGAGCCCGTGTGCTCTGGGGCCTCTGAAGGCAGC